CTTCCTTCCTTCCTTTCCTTTTGTTTTTTTGAGACAGAGTTTTTCTGTATAACACCTCTGGCTATACTGGAACTCACTCTGTAGAGGCTGTCCTCAACCTCACAGAGATCCACCTGCCTCTGCCTCCTGAGTGCTGGGATTAAAGGCGTGCACCACCACTGCCCGGCTTTCCCCGGCATTTCTAACCTTTCCTTTCTTACCCTTCCTGCTACCCCATCCCCCCTTTAGCATGTATTTACTTACTGTGGAGGAGTGTGTGCATGCAGTGCGCGGGCAGAGGACAACTTCTGAGAGGCACTTCTCTCCTTCTATTGTATGGGTTCTGAGAACTGAACTTGGACAGTCAGGCTGGGCAGCAAGTGTCTTTATCTGATGAGCTACCCTGCTGTCTCTGCCAGTTCTCTTTGTCCCCTAAGTAGTTACATCTGAGCTTTATTTCATTTCATATATACATGTATGATCTTATGTATCTATATAAAATCTAGGAACCACAAGTGGAGGAAATAAATGGTATTTTACTTTCAAAGTTGTTCCAAGACTGCAGAGCTCAGACCTTGACGAACTTGTTTATGGTAAAGAAAAGGTAGGTTTAGGTATCCTAGAGCAAATATCAGTTGAGATTTATGTGGGAATCTAGAACCCAGGAAGCAAGGCCTTTGGCAAACATAAATGTGTTCCCGCATCCTTAGCTGCTGGCCTCACAGTCTGTCTCTTTACAGTCCAGGCCCTGATGAGTTTTGAAGACAAGTAGAGGTCCAATGGATGGCAGGCGTGTCTTTGGACCCAGCAAAAGCTAATGAAGGGAATAGTTGGAAATAGAGAATTCAAAATATAAATATCTAATAAATACTGCTAATGAACATTTCTGGTAAGTTAATTAAATATTTTTGTGAGATGTAGATGATACAAAAAGGCAAAAGTTCCTTCAGAGGCCATTGGAGCCTGGGCTTCTTCCTGGCCCACCAGCCTGTCCCCGGTCCCTGCTGGGACTCTTCATGACTGTACCGTTCTAGCTCCTGTTCTTCTTCTAACTTCTACTTCCTAGTAAGAACTCAAATCTCACTTTATTTTGGCTAGTCTGTGTAAGCTTCTATGTGGAATAACTAAATCCTCAGAGACATTGGTGTAGCTACTCGAGAAGTAATGTTTCCATTGTCCGCTCTGCTAATACCGTTCCTCTTGTGCACCATTAGCTTTCTTTCTCAGTGCTAGGACAGGACCCAGGGCTTCACACATGGTCGGCCTGGGCTTTGCCAGTCACTTACACCCAGGGCTTCACACATGGTCGGCCTGGGCTTTGCCAGTCACTTACATCTCTAGCTTCCTTTTTATTGACTTTATTTCAGTCCCAGAATCAGCCAACAATCCAGACCAAATGGTCCAGAATGTTCCCGTGCACCATTAGCTTCAGCCACATGTTATTCATACCATTTCTGGAGAAAGATAATGCATTTCTTCATCACCCTTGTCATAGACCAGGGAAGTTTTCATGTCAGTTTATGTTCCACGGTTTGTAGGACCTCAGAAGTGATCTATTTCCCATCAAGGCAGAGACACCTTTTTTGTTTGTTTGTTTGTTTGTTTGTTTATGTGTGATGCCAGAGATCAACCCCATATTCTCATGATCCTGCCACTGTTCTATAACCCAGCAGGAAGCCTTTTATAACATCACGGAAGAAGTGACTATCAAGTGGTGGTTGGTGATGGACTATCTGAAGGTATCCATTCCGTTATGGAAGGACTCAAGTCTTTTGGGTAGGTTTTTGGAGATAGGGTCTCTGGTTTCACCCCAGGCTGGCCCCAAACTTACTATGCAGTACAGGCTGGCCTTGAACTCCTGCCTCTTAGGTCATAGGGTTACATGCCCAGCATATGACTTATTTCTTTGAAAATGCTTATTATTAAAAATTCTATCAACCTTGGCTGAGGAGATGGTTCAGTGGTAAAGAGCATTTATTACTCTTGTAGAGGACCCAGGTTCAGTTCCCAGTACCCTCATGGTAGCTCACAACTTCCTGTAACTCCAGGTCCAGGGATCTGACACCTTCTTCTGCTCTTCTCAGGCACTACATGCACATGGTGCACAAGCAGATGCACATAGACATGCAAACCACACGTGCACATAAAATCAATAAACATTTAAAAATTCTGTTCCCTGTTGAGTGCTTGATCTATGTATAAACAATGTAACGTGTGTGTGTGTGTGTGTGTGTGTGTGTGTGTGTGTGTGCTACACGATACACTCTGTATCTGGAGTATGTATGTATATAAAACAACCCGATGTGTAAGACAAACTCCCACTTTAAATGACTTTTTTTGGGGGGGAGGGTAGATTTTCAAGACAGGGTTTCTCTGTGCAGTCCTGGCTGTCCTGAATTCCCTTTGTAGACCAGGCTGGCCTCGAACTCACAGAGATCCGCCTGCCTCTGCCTCCTGAGTGCTGGGATTAAAGGTGTGTGCCACCACTGCCCGGCCCATTTTAATTTTTTTAATTGAAAACTTCTTTTTCTTTGAGACAGAGTTTCACTCCATAGTCCATGCTGGACTAGAACTTTTTATGTAGTCCAGACTGGCTTGAGCTCTGTGGATAGTTAGACCTTGTCTCAAAAACAAGCATAGTGGTGAGATGGCTTGGTTGATAAGGTGCTTGTCAGTGAATTATAAGGATGTAAGGTCCTTATGAGCTCAGGTTCTAACACCCACACAGGAGCCAGGCATGGCAACGTGTCTACTGCTCTAGTTCTGGGATGCAGAGACAGGAAATCCCAGGACTCACTTGCCAGCCACTCTTGCCAAAACAGAGTTCCAGGTTCAATTAGTGTCCTTGTCTAAAAAATAAATAAATAAATAAATTAGGTGGAGAGTGATAGAGGAACACATCTGATGTTGACTTCTGGCCTCCACACATCTCTGTGTGAGTCTATTCCTGTACACATATAAACACACATGCATACAGCATTTCTACCAACCCACCCCCGCAAATAAAACAAATACCAAAAATAAGATACAGCCCTGAATGGTATACTTTAAAATGTTTTATGTTATATGATTTATCTGTCCAAACAATATATACAAAGGTTTTCTTTTTTATTAGATTTATTTATTTTTTCATTTACTTTGTATATGTCTCTATATGTGAATACCAGAAAGCGTGAGTGGAGGTGGGATTTGAACTCGGTTATTAGATTTCATAGCTGAGCCATCTTACCAGGAGGATTTCTTGAAATCAAGAACAACGCAGTTGGACAAGTGCATCTTTGTAATCTCAGTACTTCGAGGTAGGGGTGGGGATCAAGAGTTAAAGGTTGAGCCAAGGACTGGCTCAGCCAGTTTTTACCTGTATTTCTGGTGCTTTATTGCTTTTTAGAGATCATCATCTGAGAACTAAGCGGAGATGGCTGAATTTGTAATTCTCCTGCTTGGGTGACTGGGTGACTTATATGGACTAAGGGCATCTTCTTTGTCTTTTGTTATCTATCATTCTGCTTCGAAGAACTGGAATTACAGGCATATGACAAAATACTCAGCTTGAATAAGCATTTGTTTGTTTGTTTGTTTTTTGTTTTTGTTTTTGTTTTTTTGAGACAGGGTTTCTCTGTGTAGCTTTGCGCCTTTCCTGGAACTCACTCTGTAGTCCAGGCTGGCCTCGAACTCACAGAGATCTGCCTGGCTCTGCCTCCTGAGTGCTGGGATTAAAGGTGTGCACCACCACCTCCTGGCCCTGTTTTTTGTTTTTCAAGACAGGGTTTCTCTTTGTAGCTCTACCTGTCCTGGAACTTGCTTTGTAGTCCAGGCTGGCCTCAAACTCACAGAGATCCTCCTGCCTCTGCCTCCCAAGTGCCAGGATTAAAGGCCTGTACCACTTTAAGATTTCTTCCAGAAAAAAAAAACCATAATAGAATTTTTAAATTTTTTTAAAAGATTTATTTTATTTATTTTTAAGATTTATTTATTACATCTACAGTCTGCATATATTCCTGAACGACAGAAGAAGGCACCAGATCTCATTACAGATGGTTATGAGCCACCATGTGGGTGCTGGGAACTGAACTCAGGACCTCTGGATGAGCTGTCAGTGCTCTTAACCTCTGAGCCATCTCTCCAGCCCGAATTTTTAAATTTTTATTTATTTGTTTGTGAGTGTTTTTTCATGTACATGCCTTTTGTCCATTGGGGTCAGAAGAGGGCATCAGATTCTCTGAACTGGAGATATAGACAGCTTTGAGCTTCCATTGAGGTGCTGGGAATTGAACCTAGGTCTTCCGGAAGAACAGCCAACACTGTAATTGCTAAGCCACTGCTCCAGTCTCGTGTTAGAATTCTTTGTTTGTTTGTTTTATTTTTCTGAGACAGGTCTCTCTATGTACTCTTGGCTGTCCAGGATCTTGCTCTGTAGACCAGGTTGGCATCACACTCACAGAGCTCCTGCTGTCTCTACCTCCTGGGTTTGGGATGTGCCACCACACGAGGCTTCCATGATAGAAATCGTAAACCCCTGTAATGTGAGCCGGAAATCAGTGGAGTAGGAGCTGGGCTGTGGTGGCCCGCTGTTTCTCTCCCTCTCTTACAAGAGGACCAACTGAAGCCTCTTCTCCCATCTTCTGTCCCTCACTACTTTGGGTTTGTTTATTTGTTTGGTTGGTTGCTTGAGACAGTGTAGCCCCGATGAGCCTTGAACTCCAGATCCTCCTGCTTCAGTCTGCCAAGTGCTGAGAATACAGGCTTGCTCCACCAGAAGTCTCTGCGGCTTCACCCCTTCCTTCCACGTCTCATACAGATGTCTCTGTTGCTCAAATAGAACAAAAGAAGGAAAGTCATCCTCGGAATAGATCCCAGATAGTCTAAGTAACAAACTTCAAAGCTGTCAGAAAACAGGGTGAAAGGCATGTACCACCATGGCTTGGCTCTTTAAACGATCTTTAATTAGTTTGGTCTAACTTTAAAAGGTTATTGATAAGCCAGGCATGGTGGTGCATGCTTTTAATCCAGCACTCAGGAGGCAATCTCTCTCTGTGAGTTTGAAGCCAGTCTGCTCTACATAGTGAGTTCTAGGACACCCAGGCTGTATAGGGAGGCCTGTCTTAAAAAAGAAAAAGAGGGCTGGAGAGATGGCTCAGAGGTTAAGAGCACTGGCTGTTCTTTCTGAGGTCCTGAGTTCAATTCCCAGCAACCACATGGTGGCTTACAACCATCTGTAATGAGGTCTGGTGCCCTCTTCTGGTCTGCAGGTATACATGCAGGCAGAACTTTGTATACATAATAAATAAATAAATATTATTTTTTTAGAGTATTTTTTAAAGATTTAAAAATTTGTAAATAGCTGGGCGGTGGTGGCACATATCTTTAATGCCAGCATTTGAGTGGAAGAGACAGGTGGATCTCTGTGAGTTGGAGGCCAGCTTGGTCTACAAAGTGAGTTCCAGGACAGGCTCTAAAAAGCTACACAGAGAAACCGTGTCTCAAAAAACAGAAATGAAAACAAAATATTAAAAAAAATTATTTGTATGTACCTTTGTATGGGTGTGTGCGTATGAGTGCAGGTGCCTACAGAGGCCAGAGCTAGAGTTACAGGAAATTATGACCTGCTGGACATGGGAAAATGAGCTCTGACAGTTGGAGCCATCTTACTAGCCCCTTTATTTACTTGCTGACCATGTTATATACATATGAACTGTGTCTTGATCACACCCATCTCCAGTTCTCCCGTCACCCCGGACACATCCTACACCCTCCTCCTCCTCCTCCTCCCGCTCTCAGGCCCTGGCGTCTCGTGATGGTTTTAAACCCATCGAGTCCAACTAGTGCTGCTGTTGCAGTTTTGCCTCATCCTGCTGGCTTGGCCTTGTGTGGATCTTGTCCAGGTTACCATAGCTGCAGTGGGTCCGCAGGGCAACGGCCGTGTGCAGTCCAAAAGAAAGCGCTTCTGGCACTGCTCCACATCTTCTGGCTCCTAACAGCTTTCCACCCCACTTTCCGTGTCCTGCGCCCTGTGTCGGGAGGTCGATATGGGTCCCATTTAGGGCTGAGCGCTCAACAGGCACCTAATCTCAGCCTTTTGACCATTTGTGAGTCTCTGCTTTGCTGCCCGCTGACGAGTGAGGCTTCTCTAGCCAGGGTTGAGAACGGCACTAACCTGTGGGTATAAACACAAATATTACAGGGCAGATTGGCATCATGTCCATTTAGCAAAACAGTGGTAAGTTCTGCCCTAAGGCCTATGACCTCCCAAGTCATGGAATTTTGACCATGTTTATAGTATTAGACATGAATTTCCTCCAGTGGACCAGTGTTTATATTCCATCAGAAAGTAGTTGGTTACCTCTATAACTTTCATGCCACTATTATACCAGTGGGTACATCTTGCCTGGCAAATCAATATCATAGCATGCAGGATCCAGTGCTGGGTAAGACCATTTATGTCTTTGATCCCCAGTAACCTTTATACCACCTTCTTATACCATGAAAGCTAACCATCAGGAAGGAAGTTTGCAGGTCAATTTCAACTTGATTTTTCTGTTCTGCAACCCAAGTATATTATGTCTTCAGCAATTGTTTGTTTGAGACAGGGTCTTATTATGTAGCCTGGGTGGCCTGGAGCTCACTATGTAGACCAGGCTGGCCTTGAATGCATGGAGATCTCCCTACTTTAGCCTTGTGAGAGCTGGGATTAAAGATACACACCAGCACACCCCACACCCCGCCCCAGTTGGGTCTGGGTCTTACCATTATTTATTGTTGTCGTTTACGTGTGCAAATGTGTGTGTGCATGTGCATACATGCCCCAGTGCAGTGTGGAGGTCAAAGGACAATTTTCTGGAACCAGTTCTTCTAGTGTGGATTCTGGGGATTGAACTCAGGTCTTCAGTTGTGCAGAGCAAGCTCTTTTACTGAACGAGCTTCCCTGCCTGGTCTTCTTGCATTGTTTCAACTACCATGTGATGAATGCTCTTGACTTCCATTTTCTTGCCAGACCTCTTAGTAACTCCAGGGGAAAGTCAACTGCCTGCTAAACATCTGCACTCGGGTACATAATTTGTAGTATGTCCCATACCGAGCTTAATTACTACTGTTCCTTCGAACTTTCCCCTTCCTCTTCGCTCCTGCTCTTTCTAGTGCTTCTCGGGATCAAACCCAGAGCTTTGCGTGGCTCTGCTGGTGCTCTACCATCGAGACACATCCTTAGCCACTTGTCGCCTTTCTAATCCGGGGAAAGTGCCAAATGTTTCCCTGGCTTGGAGGAATCCGCAGTAACCTCTCCCTGCTTAGCTCTGGAGGTCTTTCACAGAAGATCTTTTATTTGCAAAAGAAAACACTGATCTTGAGCTGGGGGTGTGACTCAGAATATATTGCTCACCTAACATGTGCACAGCCTGGGTTCTCTTCCCAGGAAGAAAACTAGAACCCCATGTGGTGCTACATGCTGGTAATCTTGTAATGTTGCCACTACTAGGATCAGACTAGCTCAAGGCAAATTCTCTTTTTTCCTTCTCCCTCTTTTTAAAAAATCACATTTATTGCTGGGCATGGTAGCACATGCCTTTAATTCCAGCACTGGGGAGGCAGAGGCAGGCATTTCAAGGCCAGCCTGGTCTAAATAGCAAGTTCCAGGATAGCTAGGACTGTCTCAAAAATAAACAGTAAATAAAAAGATTACATTTATTTCTTTATTGCATGTGTGTATATCCTTATGTGCATGTTGAGGTCAGAGGACATCATAAAGGAACCAGCTCTCTCCCTTACCAAGTGACATCTGAGGATCCAACTCTGCCATTGGACTCTGTGGCAAGCACCTTTACCTTCTGAGACATTTTGCTGTCCCCTCCTTTTTTTTTTTTTTTTTTTTTTTTTTGAGACAAGTTCTATGTTGCCTGGTCTGGAATTCCCTACATTCATAGAGTGGGCTAGCCTTAAACTCACAGAGATCCACCCAGCTCTGCCTCCTGAGTTCTGTGATTTAAAGGCATTTGCCACTATGTCCACCTCTCTTTTCAACAAACAAATAAACAAGAGCAGGGGCCTGAAGAGATGGCTCAGTGGTTGAGAGCATCTACTGTTCTTGCACAGAACCCAAGTTAGGTTCCTAGCACCAGGCCAGGCAGCTCACAACCGCATGCAGTTCTAGCTCCAGGGAGTCTAACACCTTCTTCTGGCCTACGTAGACATCTGCACTCATGTGCACATTGCTACTTTAAAAGTTTAAAAAGCAATAAAGGAAGTTCTCAAGTAGCCCAGGCTGGCCTCAAACTCACTATGTATGAGAATGATGCTAAACTCTGATCCTCCAGCCTCAACCTCCAAGTGTAAGAATTTTAAGCAGGGCCATCATGCTTAGCTCTCTCTTTTAGCGCTCTTCTTTGCGGGGAGGGGGGGGGAGGAGAGACAGGGTTTCTCTGTGTAGCTTTGCGCCTTTCCTGGAACTCACTTGGTAGCCCAGGCTGGCCTCGAACTCACAGATATCCGCCTGGCTCTGCCTCCCGAGTGCTGGAATTAAAGTCGTGCGCCACCACCGCCCGGCCTGCTTAGCTCTTTTTAATAAAAAAAACTACATTTATTTCTTTATTTTGTGTGGAAGTGGCACTGGTGTACCACAGTGCATGTGTGGAGGTCAGAGGACAGCTTGCATGAGTGACTTTTTTCTTCCATCTCTGTCAGCCTCACAGACTGAATTCAGGTCACCAGGCTTGACAGCAGTCTTTGCCCACTGAGCCATTTCATCATCTCTTTTAATTTTTGAGACAGGGCCACATGTAGCTCAGGCTAGCCTCAAACTAGCTGTATAGCCAAGGATGCCTTTGAACTCTTGGTCCTTCTGCCTTTGCCTCCCAGGTGCTGGGATTCCATGTCTGTACCACTACACTGCTTGCTTCTGCTTTACACATACTTTATAGATAAGTGACCTCTAGATATTTATGGTCATCCAATAGAAGTGATAGAAAGGGACATAGACTTCAGAGGTATAACATCAAAATACAAGGATGATATGTAAAATGTGCGTATGTATAAAGATTTATTAAATCAGCTTACATTGAAATACAGCATTGCCTCACACCTGCGAGGCTGAGCATTTGACAGTTGCTTGACCCTTGAGGCTGGATGCCCAGCAGTTGTAGTAGTCCCACAGTGGGTGTCTCTCACTAGAGAGGCCCAGAACCACCTCAGCACTCCCAGTCTGGTGCTAAAAACCTGGAAATTTCTGGAGAGCTGCTGGTCCTCAGTCAGTGATGGGAACTTGAAGTAGCTGCTTCTGATCTGAGCAAAGGTCTGGGTGCTCTTCCATTTGGTGTGGGTCTTCCCACATCTCTTAAGGCTATCAGGACAGTTCCTCAGGTACAGCTCCCTACTCAGGTCATCCTAATGTGTGGCAACTTGACATTAAAACCAGATGTCACCCCACAAAAGTGCTGACAGTGTTGACTTGAAGGTTTGTATTACCTTTCTGATTGCTCTGATCCAGGAAGCAGAGAGGAATTTGTGCTGAGGCTTAGCTTGCTGTTTCCTTTTTATGCATCCAAGAACCTAGTTCATGGAACAGTATCACCCCCATTTACAGTGGGTCTTCCCAACCCAGGGATCTGATCTAGATAACCTCCACAACATAACATGCCCAGAGACTTGTATCTCCGGGGATCTTGTCAAGCTAACAACCAAATTAACCATCACAGGGTTCAAATAAATATAGTAGGGTCAGTGAGATGGCTCAGTAGATAAACATACCTGCTGCTAAATCCAATAAAACCCGAGTTTGAGCTGGGTGGCGGTGGCGCACACCTCTAATCCCAGCACTCAGGAGGCAGAGCTAGGTGGATCTCTGTGAGTTTGAGGCCAGCCTGGGCTACAGAGTGAGTTTCAGGAAAGGCGCAAAGCTACACAGAGAAACCCTGTCTCGAAAAACAAAATACAAACAAACAAAAAACAAAACAAAACAAAAAACCTGAGTTTGATCCCAGGGACCCACAGGGTAGAAGGAGACTGACTCCCAAAAGTCACCTTCTGACCTCTATAGGTGCACCATGGCTCAAGCGCCCTACTCCCACAAAAAGAATGAAAATGTAATTTTTTTAAAAAAATAATTTTATTTATTTTTATTTTATGTACATTGGTCTTTTGCCTGCATGTGTGTCTGTATGAGGGTGTTGGATTCTGGAGTTACAGACAGTTGTGAGCTGCCATGTGGGTGCTGAGAATCGAACCTGGGTCCTCTGGAAGAGCAGTCAGTGCTCTTAACTGCTGAGCCATCTCTCCAGACCTGTAATTTTTTTTTTTTTTTTAAGTTAAAAAAAGTAGAGGACTCAGTTAATGTACCAGTACAGGACTTGCACTTAATGAGAATCAACCATAAAGGCGGTGGGGTAATTTTGAGCCTCAGGTTGCTCTGATCTCCTGACACAGTTTCTGTTTGCCTCAGCAGGGTAGAGATTGTTAAGGCATTGGCAAACACTTAAATTAACTGGTTAGGCACAATCTGCCGGACAGAATGAATCGCCTGAGCTCCTCTGACCGCAAAGGATCTGGAAAATGTGAGGAATGCTTGGTTATCCAGGAAACACTAAACAGTTCAGTTACAAAGGACAAAGCAACAGGGAGAGACAATTGCAGCTTACAAAGGTTGGCGGTCGGTCTTGTCAGGCAGGGGTCACCTTGTAGGAGGTTTTGTCCAGTGAGCTTTCAGAGTTCTCAACTCCTTTGTCTGCCTATCCAACATAACGCCACATCACAGTATTCCAGTGCTCCACCCCACATCACAGTATTCCAATGTTCCACCCCACATCACAGTATTCCAGTGCTCCGCCCCACATCACAGTATTCCAGTGCTCCGCCCCACATCACAGTATTCCAGTGTTCCACCCCACATCATACTATTCCAGTGTTCCACCCCACATCACAGTATTCCAGTGTTCCATCCCACATCACAGTATTCCAGTGCTCCACCCCACATCACAGTATTCCAGTGCTCCGCCCCACATCACAAGTATTCCAGTGCTCCACCCAGGCTCGTTAATTTCAGTTTAGCAGGACACAATTCTGGTTTTGCTCTGAACCTTATAATTTTAGTTTGCTTGTTCTATTTTTTATTTTGATTACTTGTAGGTTGAGATTTGTCTTATTATTGGTGGATCTTGCTAACCTGTAAGCGTTAATCAACACAGCCAGCCTCATACACTTCTCCAACCCTTAGGTCAGCCTGAATCCTTCGCAGAAGGATTATCTGCTGTTTACTACATCATGTGGACTGCCAAGCAGTGTCTCATTCTGGTCATCTATTATTTTGATATCTGATTAGTTAGGTGATGTTGTCTAGATGTTTCCTCTGGGGTTTGAAGCATTCCACCTTCAGGAAGCTCCTTAAGCAGGAACGTAAACAACTCAACACATCTTCAGAAAGCCCCTTGAACTGACCAGATTCACCAGGCCTCTCCTTCCCAAGGTAAGCACTAAAAGATGAGAGTACCTTCCAGATTCAGGAAGCTGAGCTGTATGAAGACCCTCAGACCAGACCAGCTGCCTGGAAGATGCTTACACCAACTGAGGCACCTGGAAAGGACACTCTCCAGCCTGTTGAACTGCCTTCAGGGGTGCAGTGTGCCCCAGGTTCCCATCTTTGTGAACTGCCACCCATGACGGGGTGGGCTTTGGTGATGCACTTCTCTTTGAGTCATTTCTGCCCCTGTAAAGTAACCCCTCACCCATGTTCCTTTAAGTATCCCTAATAAAACTGACTGGTTAACCAAGTTGGACTTTGGTGGTACCTGAAAGTGTGATAGCTCTGAGGGGGAAAGGTTTTCCTGAAGCAGGTTTCACAGCTCTGAAGGGAAGGTTTCTCCAATGGAAGTGTTACACACAGCTCTGAGGGGGAAGGTTTTCCTGAAGCAGGCGTCACAGCTCTGAAGGGAAAGGTATCCTGACAGCTGAGAGCTAAGGAATACCACAAAGTCACACCGCACAACAAACCTCACACAAGAGATTTATTGGGAGAGACACAAGAGGGCGGCTGCCTCGGCTCCAGTGAGAAGCAGCAAGGAATTGAACAGGAGGCAGGCTCTGTAAGGGGTCGTGGTGGTGGGAACAGGAGGCAGGCTCTGTAAGGGGTTGTGGTGGCGTTTCCAGGAATTGACCTGAGAACTGGAGGGATTTTGCGGCCTGGTCAGACAGAAGCAGGGGGGAGGCTTATATGGGATTTAGAGTAGGGGAAGCTTCCCAGGGTAGAGATTTCCAGGTGAAGACTGGTAAGATTTCAAGTCCTAAGCTTGAAGTGAGCCCAGGGATTGGTGGGATTTGGTGTTCAGGGATTAGTGAGTTTGGGTAAGTTTTTTCACCTGGAAGTGGGCTCGGACCTTTCACCCTACAGAATCTGTGTTTTGGTCTTTTATGGGTTACCAGTCTGCGTTGAGTAGATGTGTGTGTTGCATCTCCATAGGAAAAGTTTTGTCACACCATAGGTGAGGCCTCATTCCCATCCCTAACTGTGCAGCATACTTTATACAGCCAGCTCGTTGTATTCATGAATTTCATATCTGCATATTCAACCAACCATGAGTTGAAAAAGTTTTTAAATTATTTATGTATGTATGTAATTATGTGTGTCTATACATATGTATCTGGATGCATTCAGAGGCCAGAAGATGGCTGTGTCAGGTTCCCCAGAGCTGGAGTTACAGGTCATTGTAAGCTGCTTGGCATGGATGTTGGGAAGCAAACTTGGGGTCTCCAGAAGGACAGTGTGTTATCTCCCAAAATCTTTTAATTGCATCTGTACTGAATATATATAGACTTTTTTGGGTAATTATTCCACAACAGACAATATAAGAACTATTTGTATAACTTTTACTTTGTTTTGGGTATTATAGATAATCAAGACATGATTTATATACATATACAGGAGGATATGTATAAAAAGTAAATACTACTACACTTTATATTAGGGTCTTTAGCATAGACATATTTTGGAGCCCTTGGGGATTCTGGAATAACATGAGGTGACTATTTGTTCTAAAGGTCTTTCAATCGAGACACTGCGTCAGGCTCTGCTTCTGCCTCCAAGTCTGGGATTGCAGACATGCACAGCTGTGCCTGGCAGAGTGTGCATCTATGAGTAGTTGTAGACACAGGTTAGAAACTTCCCAGGACACAGAGCTAGTAAATCTGCAAACAGGAGTTAAACTTCAGCCATCTTAGTTTTTGCTATCCTGTACACGGAAAAGGGGAGAATACATGTATTTTAATTGGTTACAGAATCAAAGGCAGAAATCCAGGAGCATTGCAGGATGGGCTGAACCCAGCAGCGACTTTGGGCAACCCAGACCATCTTCTGATTGTCTTCTGACTGGATGAGGAACCCTTGGTGGGCAGAGGGGAAAATATTGGCAAATGATATATTAGATGATTTAACTTCCCAACTTTTAACAGGCTTTGGAAATATGCAACTCTTTGGTGGCATGAACTAGCTCATTTCATTTCCTTGGGCCTCAATTTCCCTGTCTATAAAATGTTTTATACAAATTGTTTTTATTAGCATATTAATTGTATGTAATAATAGGTTTCATTATGACACTTTCATACATGTACCTAATATATTTCGGTCATACCCTCTGTTACCATCACTGACACACACACACACACACATTCCTATTAATCTCTTTCTTCTTCCCAACTAGTCCCCCCCTACTTCGTGTCTTTTGTGGTGGTTGTTACATTTTGTGGTTGTTGAGTTTCATCAGTGTCGTTTATCAGATCATAGGTGAAGGTGTGTTTACAGAACCTTATGCACGGTAGAAAATATCTCTTCTTCCCTCATCAACCATTAACTGTTTTTAAATCTTCAGGGGGTGGGAACTCCTCACTTTTTCCATGACAGAGTGTTGACAGGTCCAATCTTGTGCAGTAATTGTAGGACTTAAAACAAAAACAAACAAACAAACAACCCTTGTTCTCTCTCTCTCTCTCTCTCTCTCTCTCTCTCTCTCTCTCTCTCTCTCTCTCT